TAGATATGGAAAGGCCCTACCCATTCTAAATGAATCATCACTGACACTGCCTTCTTACATCCTCTAACCACCAGTCTTCTTTCCCATTTGAACTCAGGCTACTATTTGTATTAAGGCAATTATTCTTGAACCACTTCCATCCAGAATCAAAATATTTGTCCAATTTCTATTACTGACATTACATACACCAAAAATTTATATCTAATAAGAATAAGCTAAAGGCATAAAGAGGGAGAAAATTTTATTAAACATTTCAGATGCCATTTACTGTTCTATGCTGAGTTCTAAAGGGAAGTGCAGAATGCAGCAGTGAGAACGTGGTAAATAAAAGAAAGGTCAGAGATCCCAGCCATTTAATAAGCCTCAGGAAAATGAGATTTATGCTGCATTTTCCATTAAATCTTCTTCTTTGAAGATGCTGTAAGTTAGCTCCAATACTGTGTTCTCATTGTGCAGCGTTTGCGATACTAAATACATGGCTCTGTACAAGACAGATCTGGTAGCAAGCAGGCTCTACGAAAAGGAACTCCTATGAAACAAACTACGTATCAAGGGCAGCCCAAGTTTCTATATTTTGCATCACAAAGAGTGTCTTTTCTATTGGTAGCAGCAATAAAACAGAATGCCCAGGCTAGAAATCTCAGAGGCTCATGGCATGCAATTATATCATTTGTACCATCAGGGACAGTCACTATAAGAATCTTTAGTACTGTGTCAACCCCAGTAAGAGTAAACAAAATGTGCCAAGGTTCCAGGGTAAACGGACAAAGTAAGATCATCCCAGTATTCCAAGTAAATCCTACACTAGTCAGCTTCCAAAAGTTGCTATCAAACATATTTTTAAAAGTGTATGTTCCTTTTACGTGAAATGGCAAAGTAGTGCAGAAAGGAGACGAACACATAAAATATAGTTTAACAAGGACATGAATGTCTGTCCACAAACTACTGCAAGAGATGGTAGCAAGCCACATTCCTTCTGGTGCTCAATTGAACATGTTCATGTTTTTATATTACAAAAATACTTCGACTGTACAACATACATACTGTACTTTTAAAAAACTGACTCAGCAATTTTATATCAGCCTGAAGAGGCAGACCTCATAGATGATTAACCTTGTAACTATTTTACATGTAAAATTATTAGACAGAGCATATACACAGAGCTATAAGAAACCAGTAGATCTGAATGGAGGACTTTAGACAGCCAGACTCCATGTAACAAGAAATGTGCATTTTGATCTGGGAGAAGGAGCAGAATTCCAGCTCAGAACCACGGTATGGGCAGAAGGCATGTCTATCTCAAAGCAAACTGAGCAAGTGGGCAACAGAGCTCAACATTTAGTGGCACAAAAAATAAACCAGTGATTTGTTTACTCTTCTTATGTCCAACAAAGGAGATGTTCATTTCTTTTAACTGCAACAATTTAATTTAGATGACTACCCAATTAACAGTCATAAGGAAATAACTTCATACTCACACTTCATATGGCCCACAAAACCTGATAGTCTCCTATCTTGCCTATGCTTTGCTGAGAAAAGCAACATTCAGTAAGGGTAAGGGCTCATCTTGGGACCAATTCCCATAGTTGCCATTTGAAGTACATGTTGTTGAAATCCACATCCCAAAATAGTAACACCCAGTCATACTCCAATGCCTGCCCATTCCAACAATTTCATTTCTCAGACGACACACTAAAATATGATATTTGGGTACAAGACAAGTGCTTAGAGGGATTCAGCTCTATTCTCTAGGAAGCAATGCAAGAAACCATCCCATAAAATAAGTATCCATTTAAACATCAAGTGCAAATGAAAATATGTTCTGACTGCGCAAACATCCACACATTTTCTAATACTGCTCAATAATGCTCACAGTTTTATAAAGTGAATACAAAATGATACCTCTTTGCCTGTAAAAGGGCACACTAGTTACATTTGGCAGAGTGGTCTTTAAATCCATCACACCCTCCATCACAGATAGGAGGTAATACACAAAAGAAAACTGAAGCTGAGATCAAAGAATCTAGACATAAATTTTCTCCAATAGATCTGTGTAAACTCAGACATTTGATAAAAAGGTGAATTATCATACTGCTTTTGTATAGGGATAAATAAATGCAATCTATTATAGCTGAGCAGTAATGTGGCACATCAAAATAACAAACTTAACAAAGTACCATCAGCCTACACATTTCCAAGTGGACACACACAGAAGAGTGATAAGTTTCCAAACTTGGATCAACACCCCCATGGGCAGCACAGCAATTGGTCAAGGATCTAACAGCTATAATACAGAAAGATCTGGTGACCCAAGGTTGGAAACTACTGCACTAGGATCATGCTGAAATTCTTTCACAGAATTCTACTATGGAATTTCTTTCATGATAATATTTAGGAGCCATCTCTAACATTTTTTTAAAAAAATTAATATAGCCAAGCAGTGAGAGAGTTTTGTGAGAGCCTGTAAAAATTCCATTAAAATTTCAGGAATGTTACTTGCATTCTTTACCAAATACAAGCATGAAATATTAAATCCCAGGTATATTACTGGGAAAATTCAGTATTCATACAAAGCAAACAATCATACTAGGAAAGAAAATGTATTAATAGCCCTAATAAAACCTGTCAATATGAGAGGTGGCAAATTGTACTTAAAAACAGCTCCTTTATTACACAGGTTAAAGTATACATATGCACCTCCCCAGTGTAACATGGCCCCACAATACTACCTCTGTGCTCTTCTCCATCCCCTCCTCATCCCCAATAAAGCTCAGCACCCGGCATCTGGCAAAAGCTATGTTACCAGATAAACAAAACTGGACATTAAGAAATATGTACAGTCTAAATTTGATTTAAACTATTACACCCTTTGAGGCAAACTGCACTTTTAATATTTGACAACAGGCAAATTCAGAAATGACTACCACACAAAAATTCCTCCAATATTCACTACTTATATGCATTAATTTCCATGCTTAAGAATAGCTCAACTGCAGATTCAGATACAAATCTATGAGGGGCTTAAATTAAGTGTGACACATTATCTTCCATTAAATTTTCACCTCAGTTGCAAGCACTGATTTTAATGACCTAGTATTTCCAAACTCAGAGACAGGACTTTAAAGAGGCTCAGGATACCTCAAATATTAGCATATACTATAGCAGTCAATTTTTTCTCTGGCACGGATTTTAATCTTGATTTTCTTCTACCCCATTTCCCAGCATGACTGCAAAGTACCCACAAACACTTCTCTTATGAAGCTGGCATAACTTGGGGTAGCAACTATAGGATGATTGCAGGGATGCCTTTCTTTCCTTCAATAAACCTGCCTCAAGGGTACTGTTGGTTGTACAGCACAGCAGAAGCCTGAAAGGCAAAGGGAAGAAGAGATCCCTGCTCATAACTCTGCATCTTATTGCTCTCATCTCCCATGCAAGTAAGCAAGTACTGTACTGATGAGGGACTGGTGAACTGGAAGAAAAGGAATTTGGACATTCAAGAGGATGGGAGACAAACAGACCTCTAATATAAAATGACTGATTTTCTGTTACACAAGAAACATTCCATCTACTTCTAATATGCAAATTTGGTTATAATCAGTAGCTCGGCACACAAGCATGGCACTCAATTTTAGGACTGGCCAAATTTCAAACTAGTAACAAGATGAGTTTGTTGGAAAAGGGGAAGATCTTGGGGACAGAGGGATAGAATTAAAGACTGCCTAATAACGAAGAATGGGAGATAAAAGCCCTGCTGCATCTACAGTAACATCCATGAAATAGCATCAGGTTTTCATTTTTAAAATATCTAATGGGGCTTCATTCAAGGTTAAACCCCAAAATATTACTAGATACATCAAAATACTCCAGCATATTCTACACAACACACTTTCTAATTATGACACAGAAATACAAGAGGATTAGAAAATCACTACTGCATTTTATACAACAGGCTGACAGATAATAACTGCAGAGCCCCTGAAGCTGTTTTAAATATCTGAGAAAAATTCATCTCTCTTTCTGAAAAAATGTTGCAGAGGTTGTACTTTCTTATTCATAATGCCATTGTGTTTGATTTGGTTGCCAGAATCCTGCTGGCAATTTATCTAACATATAAATTAAATTGTCTAATTTACTGCAGCAATCTGTTCCTAAGTAATGAGACCCCTGTTACATTACATTACATTGCAGGGCATGCTTTTTCTGCAATTGGACATGCGCTTTGCAATGTAACAAATGCCTCATTACTTAATGATAATTCACCATGGTAAGTTATGCAATTTGACTTACACAGGCATAAATTACTAGCAGAATTTTATCCATTAAGATTATCCAGCAGCTATGTACAAGCTCACTGAAAAAAATATTCCTAAGGAGCACCATCAGCCATGAATTAAGAAGGGCTGACAAAACAAAGACCCAAGGTATATGCTCTGGCACCAGCTCTGAACTAATAACAGATTATTGCAAATAGATACCAACAAATCTACAATACTGTTCAAGCTATACAAGCAAAGGCTTAAACTGTGAATTGCACAAACTCAGCATTTTTTCCAGTAAATATTCAACCTCCTCTCTGCAACTATCAAGAAATTTATACCTAGACATGAAAGGTAGGGTTTTCAATATCTATGGGATGGACAGTGGTTGGGGGGCATATGCAGTCTTCAGGATGTTGGATTTAAACAGAAAGATTATTGCACGGGGAAAAATGACTATCAAGTACATTTTACTGTTCTTGCCAGCAGCCCTTGATTACAGTACACAGATTTAAGAATGTTCTACACATGGAGATCAAAGAAAGACACATTTTATGATAAAACCTAGCATGATTTAAACTGACTAAAAGTTTAAGACATCTGAGGATCACTATAAGTACTTAGTACTGGACTGGATCTGAATTGAAGATACCTTATATATACTATGTTAGATGTATGGTTTGCTGAACAAAAGGTTCCAGTGTAATTAGACAAACTTTGAAAAAAATGAGTAGAATGTGGTGGTTTTCATTTATATTATTAAGCAGTTTCACGATTCATTTATTACATAATACCCTGAGATGCTGGGAAAGCTGTGAACTCTATAGTGCATCAGAAACAAATTAAAAGATCAGGTTTAGCAAACAAGAACAAGGACTGAGTTAAAAATATACAACTGAAGAATCCACACTGTTTGTACCCTACGAATTACATCTTCCATTTCCAGTTTATAAAGTCAACATCAGAGACTCAATGCAGTTACTTAAATAGAATCAGTTCATCCCACATTAAACTACACTCTTGGCACAGTTTATTTTTTCTGACCACCCCTCACCAAGTTCTTAGTGAATTATTAATAATATCCTACCCTAAATATCAGCTTAACAACCCTAAAAAAAATTGAGTCTTTAAAAAGTGTACATGTTGAAGATATTAAAACTGCAGCCAGTCTTTCAAGGATTTTCTATATCCTAATCTATTCCAATGAGACCCAAACTCCTTAGTTAAAGGCAACAGTTTGCTATACTGGAAAGTGCCACATATTCCTTAATAGGAAAATTGTATTGTACTTTTCAAGACACTAGTAAAGCCCTTTGCAGTTAATTTTTCGTTTTATTGTTAAGGTAAAGGGCAATGAAGTGGCACAGCAAAGTTTTGCGTTTGTTCTAGACATTCAAGTTTAAGCCACTTTTCAATGTTTCCTCTCAGCCTTCTATTGTGTATAGCTTTCGGTGTTAGAAATCCATTATGAAATGATATCTTATTTACTGAAAATAGTGTAATTAAGCAAAGAACCAGAATTAGAATGCAAATTCCACAGCAACCTTCTAAAGCAGAAAGTATACACATGTACTTCTTCATGCTGCTCAACTATTGCAGGACAATTTTATGTTATTAAAATTAATGGCAAGAGAAAATTATCAGTCAAATAAGAGTACTGCAGATTTAATTTCACATCTTGGCTATACTGTGACAAAGAAGTAGTCACCAAATATAGCAACTAAGTCCTGTCCCAAGCCAGGGATTAACTAATGCCCCTCCCCAAAATCTCCCACATCCCACCCCTCCCCACAGCCCTTTTCACAATCTCCCAACTAGACAACACTGTTGGCAAATCAAGACAGCATGAAACATACATCAATAGAAACAAAAAGGTGATCAATGACACCAATGTATCAGCTTAACTATCCTATTAAATGACACAGTTCTCCGCAACAGCATTTCTGCTTGGGAGCCAGTTGTACCTTAACCACTGAAAGATAAAAGTTCGCCATTTTGAGCATCTCCACGGTGCATTTACAAGTGCTGCAATGCTACAGATAAAGGAAGAGATTGGACAACTGACATTCTTCCCTGGGTTTCTATTCAGGGACACACTTTACTGTCTCACTGTGCAGTGACACTCAAAGTATAATCCAATGTTTTAGCACAAACTATAATATCCAGTTCAGTATGGTGTAAGGCATGTGGACAAGAAGAGATATCAGCGGTGTACAAGAAGAGAGAAAAAAATCCATGCCAGCAGAAAGCATAGCTGCTCGATGGTCCAGTTCACTAATTCTAAACTCATTTTGAATCCCTGATTCCTATTTACTGAGACTGGAATTCACGTCGTTTCAGAGGCCATATGCCATTGAGCGAATGGTGACCAATTCATTGTGTTCTGTCCACTGTTAGAAGATGACTTATTGGCTGCAACTGTAGAATGAACGGAGCACCAGGGATGCAAATGACTGTAACTTGGACTTATCCACCAAGGGTCACTGGATTAAGCTGGGGTCAGGGAATGGAGTGTAAGGTATCAAACTGGCCCAGCCACTAGCACTGTCACAAAAAATATTTAAAAAAAAAACAAGGCAAACAAGATTATGAAGCCCTCCTTTACAGAAGCATCTCATTTTTTTAAAATCCTGCAAAATTAAAGTGTTATGTTTCTCCATCTAAAAAAAGAATACACACATGCATTGAGAAAGTGGCCACCACACAGATCTCAACAGCTTTCTGCTGAACAAAATCTAAGACTTAAAGAACTGATCATATATTTGTAGCCTTCTTTAACTAAAAAGGTAAGAGGGATGGCTAGGGGTGGGATAGTACACATGAAAACATTTCAAATGACAAGGCAAAGGTGAAACAAGCAGCCTTGCTCTTCAGGTTGTCAAAATATTAATAAGAGGGAAGGGTCTCTTCATGCACAAAATGTGGTTTACAAAATACATATCCAAGTAAAAGCAAGAAAACCCCACTTTGCACTAGAATGCAACACTCAACATTGCTCTGCCAAATGCTGCTGCACACGTCTTGTTTGATAGAAGAAGCAATGTGAAAGCAGTGAGAAGAGGGGGAGGAAGGAAAATCCAAATATCAGTCTACTTTTCAAGATCTACTTCTCTTAAAAAGATATCTTCAGTCATCTGATGTCAGATAGTGCACTCTCTTTTGAGAATGATGTGGTCACAACAGGAGTGCCATTGTTAGCCAAATAGCCTTGCCTCAATGTTTCAAAATATGAGGCCTGCACAGGTTTGTGATACTGCAGAACTTTTATGGCATCATCTATTTTAAACCATTCCCTTTTTCTTCCTGCAGGTAAACAGAGAGAGGGAGAAGTTAGCAATGCAGAAAAGTAACTAAGAATGTGCAATTCCTTCTATATTTCCAAAGATAAACTGTGTGCATGGTTCAAGTACAATCATACTGAAAGTACAACTGTACTACAAACACAATTGCTATGGAATAATTTATTCACTGAAGATTCACCTCTTCAAAATGCAATAAAAACAATATAGAGATTTCCACAATGTAAATGTATACGTCATAACAGCAAGTCCTTATTGTAATAAATGTACATGTTTTTTAAAACCTACTCTTTATCTGTTTATTCTGAAGGAGAACAAGAAAACAGGAAACACATAGAAAACATGAAACATTAAATGAATTAAAAATCATATCCTTCAAAAGCATATTTTAAATTAAAACTCTTACCTTTGCCTTCCTACCAAATACAGTGGTGCCTCGCAAGACGAAAGTAATTCGTTCCGTGAGTAGCGCTGTCTTGCGAATTTTTCGTCTTGCGAAAAGCGGTTTCCTATAGGAATGCATTGCAATGCATTCCTATGGAAAACCTCGCAAGACAAATGAATTATTTTCATCTTGCAAGAAAAAAAATCGTCTTGTGAAACATGGCCATAGAAGAAGCAGTCTTGCGAATCACCAACACGATTGCAAAAACTATTCATCTTGTGGGTTTTTGTCGTTCATCTTGCAAGACACCACTGTAGGTAGAACAATACTGTACAGTCCCATCTACTGTGCTCATATAATTTAGGTGTCATGCACCTGCACTTTATACTGGTCTTTGAGCCCCAATCCTCTTCAATTGTAGAACAGTAACAGCACTGGACTCATGAGAAAATTTTGGGATCTATAGGTACCAAGCTGACCATTATTATCTTGCTTTCCTTGTATGTTTGTATCTTGGGTGGGAAGAATAGCATACTAGAAAGATATATGCAGGATGTGTGGATATGCAACATGACTACAGGCTGTTAAGTACAGGGACCAGTTTCTGTATCATCGTGGGACAGCCAGGAACATGGAAACCTGGTTTGCTAACTACAATCCTTTCTAGATAAGGACAGTCTGTCCCCAATGGTTCATGCTCTGGCGATCTTCCGAAAGAGTAACAGTTAATTGCTGTACATTGTGACAGCTCGTGAAGATGACCTGAAAGCTTCAGCCCAAGCAGAAGGTAGTGGCTAGAATTGTAAGTAGTACAAAATAGTGCATCGCACCAATTCTGTAAGAAGTGCTAATTGCTTATTCACATCAGTTTAAGATCCCGGTGTTTGGCTTCAAAGTCCTAAAAGGCTGGAACCCAAATATCTGAAAAGCCTGCTCATGCCTTGCAATACCTTCAGGGGAGACTTTTCTCAAGTATCTGTAAGACATTATGTGAAAACACAGGTGACAATTTCCCATGTTTTGGCACTGTGACTGTGTAACACCTATTCGGGGGGGGGGGGGCTTGTTATTTAGTCGTTGTGTCCGACTCTTCGTGACCCCATGGACCAGAGCATGCCAGGCCTTCCTGTCTTCCACTGCCTCCCGATGTTTGGTCAAATTTATGTTGGTAGCTTCGGTGACATGGTCCAACCATCTTGTCCTGTCATCCCCTTCTCCTCTTGCCTTCACACTTTCCCAACATCAGGGGCTTTTCCAGGGAGTCTCCTCATGAGATGGCCAAAGTATTGGAGCCTCAGCTTCAGGATCTGTCCTTCCAGTGAGCACTTGGGGTTGATTTCCTTCAAAATGGATAGGTTTGTTCTCTTTGCAGTCCAGGGGACTCTTGCAGTATCATTGATACATTGATAGTAGCACCAGCCAGTACCATTGTATCAAAGATGATACAGTGGACCCTCGACTTACAGACAGCTCGATTTACAGACTTTTCGAGTTACAGACTTCTCTGGCCGCAAAATTTAGATTCGACTTGCAGCTGGAGAATTGACTTACAGACCAGAAAAAAACCAAAATGGAACAAAAATAGAATAAAAACTTCCAATTGTGGGATTAATCGGTTTTCAATGCATTGTAGGTCAATGGAGATTCGACCTACAGACTTTTCGACTTGCAACCACCGTTCCAATACGGATTAATTCCGTAAGCAGAGGGTCCACTGTACAATGATACTGGCTGGTGCTAGTATCATTTATTTTCAGCTCTTTAATGGAACATACAGTGGTGCCTTGAATAGCGAGGTTAATGCGTTCCGTAAAAAAAATCGCTATTCAAAAACCTCGCTATTCGAAATGTGGTTTCCCACTGAAATGCATTGAAAGCCGGCTAATCCGTTCCAATTGGAACGAATTGCCGTTGTCTCCATAGGAAACCTTGCTATTCAAAACGTGGTTCCCCCATTGAAATGCATTGAACCCTATTCAATGCACCTCAAGGTGGGGGGGAAATCAAGCACAAATTAACAAAGAGTCAGAACAAGGTCAAATTGGGTTAACACAGGGTTTATTAACTGCACTTTACGATCTCAAACATTTCAAACCCTAAACCTTAACTTTAAACCCTTTAAAAGTAGCGAACACGAAGAGCGGTTCCTCCATTGAAATACATTGAAACCTATTCAATGCATCTCAAGGGTGAAAAAAAAATCAACCAGAAATTAACAAAGAGTCAGAACAAGGTCAAATTGGGTTAACAAAGGGTTTATTAACTGCACTTTACGATCTCAAACATTTCAAACAGAAAACCTTAACTTTAAACCCTTTAAAAGTAGCGAACACGAACCACGGTTCCTCCATTGAAATGCATTGAAACCATTGACGATCGCTATCCGATAATCGCCCATAGGAAAAACGCTAATCAAGGCTTAAAAATGCCCCAAAAACCACATCGCTATTCATTTTTTTTCGTTAATAGAGGCGCTCGCTATTCGAGGCACCACTGTACTTGTTCACCATGCACTTTAGGTTGATTTATGAAGCAGGATAGTATTGCTGTCTATTTATGGATATCTTCAAGCCATTTTTCTTGCAATTAAGTATAGATTTACTAAGATTCTAAAAATATTTCATACACTTGTGAACTGTCCTGGACCTGTTACATGAAGAATGGTATATTAAGTGTTGTTACATAAAGCAAAACCAGGAAAGAAAACTGGAAATGGACAATCTATACTCACGAACTTTGGCAAAGGACAATATTAAGAGAAAAGCATCTCTGTTGCCCCTTATTTGTCTGGAAATCATCATCTTGCTTTCCAGGTTCCCACTGGAAACCCTGGAAATGGTGTCTAGCAAGGATCAATAAACTGGAACAGGACACTTTTCCAGGTCTCACTGGCATATGGAAAACTATCTCTACACTGCTTTGGGAAATGCTGAACGCACTAAATCCAAATGTTCCTCATTTTCTAAATTAAGCATGATAATATTGGCATCACTTATCAATTACATACTGATATGATCTGAGCTCAGCAACGTACCATCTACTCTCCCTTATTCAGAAAACAGAAAATCCTTCTACTTTTGCATTAACATGCAAATCTTCCTTCTGGTATGACGCAAATTTTTTTCTCCAAAGTTCTTCAAGAAAGATCAACTGAGTCTGATTTCAGGATAGCAGCATACACATCCCCACTCACTCATTGAATTTTCAATTTCAGGAGTCTATCACTTCACTCTTCATCCAGCACACTCTGCTTGATGTTTTGCTATGACCAAGACACCCCTGCTTTTCCTCTGGATATATCCTGACTCAAAGAACTCTCACCCTCACACCCATCTCCATATTACAATTATACATCCTGCCTTATCAGTCCTTTGTTTTCATAATTGCAATATTTTGTGCTTCTTCCATTCTTGCCAATTTCTTCACTGTCTTCAATTTCCATTTCATTACTGTATTTTTCGCTCCATAAGATGCACCTCTCCATAAGACGCACCAAATTTTTAGGAGAAGAAAACAGGAAAAAAATAATCTGTTTTCTTCTCCTAAAAATTGGTGAGCCTTATGGAGAGGTCTGTCTTATGGAACACACCCTAGGACCCTTTGGAGGCTCCCCCAGCCCCCCCCCCCCCGGAGGCCAGAGGGGGCAAAAATCGCCCCCTTCTGGGACTCTTCTGAAGCTTCCCAAGCCTCAAAAGAGTCCTAGAGGTGCCAATTTCACCCCCTCTGACCCCTGGGGGGGCAGGGTGAATCTCTAAAGGGCCATAGGGTATGTTCCAGGACCCTTTAGAGAACCCACCCCCCAGGGGTCAGAGGGGGTGAAATCGCTACCTTCTGGGACTCTTCTGAGGCTTCCCAAGCCTCAAAAGAGTACCAAAAGGTGGCGATTTCGCCCACGCTGGCCCCATGGGGGGTGGGGGAAGCCTCCCAAGGGTCCTGGAAGGCAGACTCGGACCCTTTGGAGGCTCCCCAACCCCCACCCCCGCGGGACCAGAGGGAGCAAAATCGGCAGCTTCTGGGAGTCTTCTGAAGCTTCCCAAGCCTCAAAAGAGTGCCAGAAGGTGGCAATTTCACCCGCGCTGGCCCCGTGGGGGGGGGATGGAGGGAGCGCTGCAAGGGTCTGAGTGTGCCTTCCCGGACCCTTGCGACGCTCCCATCTGGAAGCTGGCGATTTCGCCCACGCTGGTCCTGTGGGGGGCTCTGGGACCCTTGCGACGCTCTACCCCACGGGGCCAGCGCAGGCAAAATCGCCGCCCTTCGCTCCATAAGACGCACAGACTCCCCCACACACATTTTTGGGGGGTGCGTCTTATGGAGCAAAAAATACGGTACATTCCCCTTTCACCTCCAATGCGAAGAAACCACTGCACAGCTAACCTAGATTTACTACCACCTCATGTCTCCCTGTCCATCTCTCTCCCCTCCTTTAATCCTGTTTAGATGAATCAATAGTAATTTACTTTTCAAACTATTTAACTTTTATTTCTTCTTTATCTTTATCCTTTCGTTGGAATCAATTTCTTCTGCCTTCTCTGTTGCTCTTCAAGTAAAAGGATCCTCTGCTACCTAAACCAGATTTGTACATTGCACCCCATGTTATTTGGCAAATATACCAACCTCTAGGTCAATTTAAAAAGAACAAAAGAAACAGCCGCCTAGAGTGGCCTTTTAGGCCAGATGGGCGGGGTATAAATCAAATAACTAACTAACTAACTAACTAACTAACTAACTAACTAACTAACTAACTAACTAACTAACTAACTAACTAAATAAATAAATAAATAAATAAATAAATAAATAAATAAATAAATAAATAAAAGCCATTTATTTTATGGCAAAGAGAATATTATTTTTTTAGGGGTAACAGAGCAAAGGGTGAAAAATAAGTAACAGAGTACATGAATATGGTTTAGAGAAAAATGCACTGGCAATACATTTTATGTATGTTTTTATACTTTTTTTCTTCTGTCGGACAAGACATTCAGACACAGCAACATGTGCTTGTAGAAAAGAATTGGAAGAGTAATGGGCAAGAATATGAATGTATGAATAAAAGGCATTATATGCCATCATAGGGGACAAGGTTCAGTTAGCTAACGTGGAGTAATAGGCCTATTGTGAGGGAGTACTTGTGGAAAATTTAGGGTGATTTGCTATCAGTATGCTGATCTGACTCAGATGAGGCAGTGGAAATAATGAACAACTGCTTGGGGTTAGAAATGTTGTCATTGTCGTCGTCATCGTCATCGTCGTCGTCGTCATCATCATCATCATCATCATCATCATCATCATCATCATCATCATAGTGTTGGATGAATAGTTATAAACGGAAAATTTATCTTGTCTGGATTGAGATACTTGTTGTGGATGGTTCAACTAACAAGAGTTGTGATGCATCTCCGATGTTCATAAGATGAAATCCAACATTAAATCCTTGGTTTGGATTCCATATAATTTCTGTTATGTTGCTTTACTGGCACTTTTACCCAAGATATGTATTAAAGATTAAATGTTTCATTTACTGCCGTTATTTCACTTCTGCAATTTTGTCAGCCAACCTCAAAATGCTATATGAAATATAGGACATAAATTATTTCAATTTAATTTTAAGCTGGTGGGATAGCTCAATGCATTAAGTATCTGGCTGCAGAGTCACAGGCTGTGAACTAGATTTCCCACTGTGTCTCCTGGGAAAAGAGGCTTCCTGTGAAACAACAGATAAGCCGTACAGTCCCAGAAAGAGGAAATGGTAGAAGAGAAGGAAGTAATAGTAACGACTTCCGAGTGCTATACCCAGAAAACAGAAGCTTTATATTCCATTGAAAAGGGGTGACTCATCAGATCTTATGTGAAAACAAAATAAAAATAAAGAGTAGAAAAAAGACAAAAATGTGGTAGCACTTTAAAGACTATATTTTATATTCTTTAATGTGAGCTTTCATGGATAAGTCCACTTCATCAGACAACCTCTTCACAAAAGCTCACATTAAAGAATATAAAAGTTAGTCTTTAAAGTGCCACCATGTTATTGTCTTTTTTAAAAATCCTTTCTTTCTGTTTTCACCTATAATGCTTGCACAGACTAACACAGCTACCCCTTCTACAACTACTAACCAGATCTTGTTGGATTGCAACTCCCCTCATTCCCTATTATTTTCTATACTAGCTAAGACTATCGGGAGTTGTAGTTGAAAGGGTCAAAGGTTGCATACTACTATACAATCTTTCTGCATAGACACTTTGATTTGGTGATTATAAGCATAGTGTTCCAGTCATGCCACTCTTCCTTGAGGAGTCTGATTCCAGAAGATATTGTTGCAGAGCTGCTGTGCAACTCCATGGAATTTATAATATAAGGTTTTATAAGGTTTCATTGTGTCCTCTATGCTTTTTAAACATCTACATGAAACCACTTTAAGAGGTTATCTAGTTTAGTTAGGCATCCTTCAGTATCGAAAGACTATGGTAACGTGCTCTGGAGGACTTGGAACAGTGTCTAGTGTGGCTGAGGAGGCCGATTCAAGCGTGACAATCCCTTCCATACTGAGGACAAATACAATCTGTCCCCTGTGCAGCTCCAGCTGCTTTTGTGAATTCCTCTTTGCTTCGGCCTGCTGGATAAGGGTCTCTTCAAATTGGGAGAGGCCGTGATGCAATGCCTGCCTCCAGGCTGAACGCTCAGATATCAGGGTTTCCTATCTGTTGAGGTCCATTCCTAAGGCCTTCAGATCCCACTTGCAGATGTCCTTGTATCGCAGCTGTGGTCTTCCTCTGGGGCGATTTCCCTGCACTAATTCTCCATACAGGAGATCCTTTGGAATCTGACTATCAACCATTCTCACGACGTGCCCAAGCCAACATAGACGTCACTGTTTCAGTAATGTATACATGCTAAAAATTCCAGCTTGTTCTAGGACTACTCTATTTGGAACTTTGTCCTGCCAGGTGAACATGTGTTAAGCTGTCACCTAATCCAATTTCTTTTTCATTTACAGGTGGTAGAAATGTTGGGTATTCTGATGGAATTAATTAGGGTCCATTCACTGGTAACATTCAAGACTGACTACTATATAATAAGGGGATTACCTCTGAATATTGTCCAGAAAATACAGCTACTTAAACACCTATCAAGCTTCTATTTGCAACTGTAAATAAGAAACACATACTGTATTCTCAATTTAAGTGCTTAAAAAAACTGCACTAGCTGCATATGTTTCTGAGAACAGTTCATGTTTTTCACACTAATGTCTCAAGGATACCAACCCAGCCCTCATATATACGAAGGGATGTTTATAGTCTTATAAGGCCACCTGTGTCTTGAGATCATCGGTCAGGCACTCAGTCAGATGTCCTTATGATGAATATGCTATCTATGGTGACACTCTCTTCCCCAAAAGGCTTACCTGAAACCCATTTTACAAAATTTTAAGCAACAGGTAAAGCATTCTACCAGGTTTTTACATTTTGGTTCTCTCCATCATTCCTGATTTTAAAGTTCTGGTTCTTTTAACATACTACTTCTAATCTTTTAATTTGACATTGCTTTTTACTCAGCATCTTTTAAATTTTATTGTGTATCTCTCTGCCTCCAACGAAGATAGCACAGAGACAATTAAAATAAAATGATCTCTGAAGTCCCCCATCCTATCTTTTCACCATTTCACATAAGTCTCACTGATGCTTCTCTCATTATTCTGATAATCCTCACTAATATCCCCCAGTCCCAAAGACACAACTTTTCAATGGACATTCTAATTCTTTTATTTCAATGTGTTATCAATGTGTTATCATATTTATATGTCCATGTTAAACATTTTGATACAAGCTTTAACATTGCCTTGAATTTGCAAGGAAGAGGAATGTGATTAAGTCCAAGATATCCCAAAGCTCATCTTATAAATTAACATAATAAGTAACAATTCTGCACAGCAACTTTACAACTTACGGGGTGTACAACTTAAGGCAGGACCCTTACCTTACCATTTCCATGCCTTGGGGGCATATATTCATTTGTCAAAACTGTTTCTCTTAAAAGCAAGGGAGATTTTAAAAAATTCTATTAATTTGAAATTCAGAACCCTAGAGCCAAATAGAAGAATACGGGCATGAAAGCAAGGTACAGTGGTGCCCCGCTTGACGACGATAATCCGTTCCAGGAAAATCGCTGTTAAGCGAAATCATTGTCAAGCGGGGAAAAAACGATTGGAATGCATTGAAAACTGGTCAATGCGTTCCAATGGGGGAAATACCTGATCGTCCAGTGAAGATTGCCCATAGAAAACCGCCGATCAGCTGTTTAAAATCGCTGTAATGTGAAGCAGGATTCCGGAAAGCAGCCATTTTGCGAAGGGAGGGAAGGCATTTTGCGCAACCGGAAAAATCATCGTATAGCAAACAAACAGTTCGCGAAGCAGACTCCTAATCAACGTCATGCGAAAAAACCCCACTGGAACCATCGTTTTGCGATTGCTATAGCGATCGCAAAAAAGTCATCGTTAAGTGATTTCGACGTCATGCGGGGTAAGTGTCTAGCGGGGCACCGCTGTAAATAGATGGTTCGTGCAATTTGTTCCGCACCATGAGTAAAACAGTCTGTTGTCTTAGTTACAAATGCTTCAGATGCACAGAAATGAAAGATGATTTGCTAAGACCACAGCTAACATATATATTCCACATGCCAAATTAATTTGCTTACCAGTTTTACAGAAGTATGAAAGGTGCTAAAACAAATCACTATATTAATTCTGCAGTAATTATACCTCTCCAATATGAAAAACCTATACAGCAGTCTTGATACAGCTCCTCTCAACTGAACAACATATCAAACATGGATTTTTACCATGTCTAGCTGTCCAATATTTTTATGAAAGGTACCTTGCAATCATGAAAACTAGGGAGGGGGTATCTATTTCTTTTATGAAAGAAAGAATTTCCAGCTGTCAGAGAAGTTTTAAAAGTGTTATAAAAGTGTTTCAGGAGCTTCACAAATGTTCTTCACAAATTGAAGGTTGCTCTTCTGTAAAAACATAATATGAAAACAACTGCCCAGTGTATTTTTTACAATTAAAATTTCCAAAAAATATATGTATTAAAAACTGGTTTAATACAGATTCGACTGCTGCCTTATTAGGGAGAATCAGCAATACAGGTCAATCATATGTCTTACCAATATTCACAGAGTCCTCCCAGTCTTCCAGTACTTCTGTGACAATAAGTACGTAAACATATGTTCTGTGTTTCCTGTCCTGGTTCTGAGAGGAGGAAACACAATATTAAAACTTGTTGCAAGATACACAATGCCTGCAAAAACTGTTACTGAATAAAGCAGGAATATATTCAAAACACTGCTCCATAAAGGTTATATAATGATATTTCAAAAACAGAATGTAAAACTACGAAGGAAAACAAAAAAATTAAAACATTAATTTTAATCCTGCAATATCTACATTATCATGACAATAAAGTTTTATAATCACTCACCATTTCTATACTTACCTCAAAAATTCCTACTAATCTTCCTAACGTCCCTTTCACTCCAGCCTATGAGAAGTTCAAAGAAAGAGAAATAAATTAAAGTTCTTAGCTACAGCTCATCGCATTTATTATTTCAGTATGGGCCATACTACACATGGTGTCAGAGATTTATGATGAGACCTTCCAATATCTTTTTCAAAGCCTATAAACAACAGCTGGGGGAGAGTATGAGGTGGCACATCATCACTGAAATGTACACGCACGCACACGCACACATACAAAGAGCTGTAGACCATAGATTCCTTGGAGGACCTGATACCCACAAATGAAAGTTTTAAAACAATTACCTCCAAACTAAAACAGGTCACAACTATTTTGAATTCTGACACCTACAGACAAATGCTGCAAAGGAAGTACTGTAAGAAACACATCTTAATTTGTCCCAGTTAACACTCTGCTGTTTGCAAAATAATGTAACTCAAAAAGCGCAATCAAAACAATGGCTCACCTAGATGCTTGCATCTGAGCAATGTATACAGAGCCAAAAAAAATTTCTTTTACTGAAAAGACAGAGGCTGGCTGCAAGTTATCTTGTCTCTTGTCTTGGGCAAAGCACACAGGATCCTGAGTTGTAGCTACAGCAGACAAAAAGAAACTAAGAATATCAATTGAAACTAGAGATGGGCATGAACTGCCAGTTCGACAGCTCATGCTGGTTCATCTTTCAGGCAAGAGTTTGGTGGTTTTCAGCTCCATCTCCTCTAATGGGCATCCACTCACAGGCAGCACCCTGGCTTCCCTATCTCGTCTCCTCCAGGATGAACAGGCAAAAACCACTGAACCAGCAATTCATGCCCATCTCTAATTGGAACCCTGCCTAAACATGCGTACTGGTGTAGGGATAGGGTTCCCAGCAAGCTATACAGTGGTGCCTCGCTTAGCAACGTTAATCCATTCCGGAAAAAACGTTGCTAAGCGATTTCATCGCTAAGCGATATTAAAAAGCCCATATAAACACATTAAAACACCATTAATGTGTTCCTATGGGCAAAAAACTAACCTTTAAGTGAAGATCCTCCATAGGGGCAGCCATGTTCGGTGCCTATAAAGCGAGGAAACACAGTGGGCGGCCATTTTGTTTTCCCAGCGGCCATTTTGAAACCGTCAATCAGCTGTTAAAAAAGGGTTGCTTTGCCATGATTGCTTCCCCACGATCATCGCAAAGCGAAAAAAACCCATAGGGAACTACGTCGCTAAGCGATTTTGTCGCTCAACGGCGCGATCGCTAAGCGAGGCACCACTGTAGATGCTTATGAGGAGCTATGTTCTGGTGCAGAACAGCTCAGAGAGATCATGAAAAATAGCAAAGTTGGAGAGTGAATTACAAGTAGAGAGAAATTAAAATTAAATTAAATTACAATTGTCAACTGAAGCCAAACAGTGTGTATTGTCTAATATGTGGAGGAGATTGAGTCCATTCAAAGTCTCTCTTCAGAAAAAATAAAATCTACTGTGTTTCCCCGAAAATAAGACAGGGTCTTATATTAATTTTTGCTCCAAAATACACATTGGGGCTTATTTTCAAGGGGTGTTTTATTTTTTCCATGTACAAAAATCTACATTGCTGCACAGTGGTGGAGGGCAGGGTTTCACCTAACTGGGGTTTATTTTAGGGGTAGGGCTTATATTACAAGCATCCTGAAAAATCAGACTAGGGCTTATTTTCAGGTTAAGTTTTATTTTTGGGAAAACAGGGTAGTAGCAGATTTTGTTTTCAATGGCACAGTGTAGCATTTTCCAAAGCAAATAAAGAAACAAAGAGAGGAATATAGGATCAGAGTCTCTGTAACATGGGAAATTATTGGGAAAATAAAATCTGGGGTAGTCCTAGCAATTTTTTAAAAAGTTTTAGGATCAGTGGTGAATGTCTCTGGGCAAAGAGACAAGTTCTATTGAGTGTTAGCAAATGTATATTAACAAACACATAAGATTATTAATTCAATTAATTGCTGCTGGCTTCCATTCCAAGAGGCAGTGTTTGCAGAAAGCAAAGGAATAATGTGAAGAAATCCATTAACAGCAGCAACAGTTTAACTGCAACCAGGTTTTGGAGACTTACCTCTTCACAAACTTCTCGCACAGCAGCCACACTGGGCTCCTCTTCAGGTTCCATACCACCACCTGGGACAATCCATCTATCTGGATGACGACTACTGCTCACTAAGAGAACCTACCAATGAGAACAAAACACAGGATTATATAAATATTAATTACTTTTACAAAACTTCAAAATATAATTCTGAATGTTCTTGTCTGATCCCCTCTCCAATTTCCAGAGATTCAGACAACACTAGAGGATGTTCCAAACATTCCATTTTTCCTTCAGGGTTGGCAAAAGAACTATTTGCAACATTAAGCAGGTCAATTTCCCCCCTCTTTCAATAGTGAGAAGGGGTTAGAAACTTGTCAAACAAATTTCTCCAGAATTCCCCAGTATTTAGGAGGCCCATCTCAAAGTTCATGGGTTCAATGGAGTCTCCACCATGTGTGAGACCTCTCTGGTGGGTGGGTTGTACCTTCCATGCCTCCACCTCTCTCTTCTCTCTATCTTGGTCCTTTCTTCTCTGATCTTTTGAGACCACTCTCTGCTTTCCCTCTCTCCCTAATAAGGTTTCCTTGGAGGGTAGAAGTTTCAATGTTTCTCCACCTTCTCTCTTGAAATCATCAGCTGTTTCCAATTGTTGGTCCAGGGATTTTCCACCGACACCAACTCCCAATCTTCAGGCAGTACTTCTCTTTCTTTCCTCGTGTCACCACCTTGTCTTCCATCTCCTCTCTCTCTCCCTCTCCCTCTCTGCTCATTCCCCCTTTACCCCTCCCTCTTTCTTTTTCTGCCTTTTCTTCTACTTTCCTTGCCCTTTTTTATTCTTCCCCATCTTTATCTAACAATTTCTTTTCTTGACCCCTCCTTCTTCTTTTTTAACTTTTGCTCTCCTACTTCTGCCATAGATGGCTTCTCCAGATTCTCCCTTACACTCTTTCTCTCTTGTGCCTCAGTGTTTCTCTCCCCTTTCCATGGCAGAGGGGATGGCATTTGGGTGAAATGAGATGTCCTTCTGCCCCCCCCCCCACAGTAATCTTGCTATGCAAGTATGCTACTACCCGGGAATGCATGAAAAGCAATTAAGTTCTAAGAGTATTCTCACTCTTTCTTAAATTCATCTGTTCTTAATCCCCTCCCTATTCACACAGTTTACTGGAAAGGAAGACAGACTGAAGTCAACAGCAGAAAGCTTAAAAACCCAGACTAGAAATAAGCAGCCTATTCCACAAAGCACATTAAATATCAATAGTGATCATACTTATTTGAAAACCAAAAGAAAGCATAGATTAAATCCCTTATAAGGAATAGATATGAGACACAACACCAGTAACAAAGTGGTTTTAAGAGAGTGATTTTAACAGCATTCACATATGTTAGTCTAGTGTCTGCTACTGGGAAGGCTTGGAAAACAAGTAAAAAGTTCAGGAAGGGGGGATCCAGTCCCACCCCTGGACATATTTTTCCAAATCAAAACAACAAAACTTTAGGGAACCAAGAAAAAACACTCTTAATAAAGAAGATTCTCTTTCAGATTGAGTTACTTGTTTTTTTAAAGACAAGACTTTACTTTCTCAAAATGCTAGGAACAGGATAACACAGAGATTTGTGTGTAAGACAGCCTACAAATTGGAGAAAAATAAATTCTTGTCCACATAGTAGACACAAACAATAATCTAAGAAGCATTTCTACTCCTAGTGGTGTTGCCATTTTGGTGAGATAAGCATATATGTAGGCCTTCACTAGGCAGTGAAGACTGGAATGATAGGGTGCAGTTCACCATTTTTCTCTTTAGCATAGCATCTATTCATAAGTTTGCTTAAATGAAACTAAGGGCTTTTTTGGTATTTTTAACATTCATAAATATGCCAAATACTGTAATTACCTAGGCTAACTAAGTTATGTATGAAGCATGTTATGTCAGCACTTCTGTAGGATAAGGTTACATTTGATATGGAAATAGGTATGGTATCAGGTATGGGATTTTGAGAGTCAAGTACTACAGCTGCCAGAAATATGTAGGAATTCCCCCAGCCAGACCTCTGAGGTTTTTAAGAAATCAAAGTCGCAACAGATGTTTTTAAGTTTTTAAGCTAATGAATTAAAATTCCAACAGCTATTTTCATCTTGTGGAAAGTGAGGGGAAATTGGTGGGTAGGGCTAAACTCTGTGGGAACCACAAGGGATTGTGGGTCTGGTATGTTTTTTGAGAGGCTTCCTGTACAGAACCTAGTGGGCAAAGACTGCCACACCCATAACCTCTTACAACTCCCACAGAATTTAGCCCTGCCAACCCATTTCCCTTGTCTTCTCCAAAGGATGGAAATGGCTGCTGGAATCTTAAATTATTAGCTTAAGGACTTTGAAACAACTGTCAGGAGTTTGATTTCTCAATTAAAGCCCCCAGAAGTCAAGCTGGGGAAATTCTTCCAGACTTGCAGATGAAGCCAACAAATTTTGAAAATCCTATGTCTATATGGTATATGTACTGTATACTATACTGTATTTCAATTGCCTCCAGAATTTCCACTTTTGCCATAAATGTATTTTTCTCCGACTATGGATTTTCTAAAATTATAACATCTCTAGAAGAACTCTGTTTTCCCCACAATTAAGGGGAACCTAATCATTTGCTCCACATCTTTGTTGGAAAAGCCACTTTGGGGGGGGGGAAGACCCCAAATGAACCAATCCCTACATTGATTGTCAAATCAGGAAGAAATCAGCTTTATGAAAGATGAACAAGTCCATTCCACAAGAAGGACAATGGATTGCTAAACAAATATAATACATCAACTACTTCCTATCACAAGTGTTGACACTGACAGGATGGTCACATTCAACTGGCATAGCTGTTTAGCAGATGTTCAGTCCACCACAACATTCTGCATGGGGAGGACAGGAAGTTCTAGAAAGGGCCAATCAAACCTGAAAAGGTGACTCAGATTTCACAAGAACTACTGTAATATGAGCAACAGAAATATAGAAAGCTGCTTTTTCTTCATTCCAAATATTAACAGACAAATTATATCAAAGTGTCTAAAAATTCCTTCTCTTTCAAGGAATGCTGTTTAAAGTCCAAATACAAGAAGGGGCATATCATCGTTCTAACCATGCTGGAACACATGTAGTTGGCTGTAGACTAAGCTTAACTCCCAACAATATAAGTGGGACAATCAAGTAATGACTTAAAATCTAATGAGTTCAGCTTGAAGCAAGTTCTACTAATTCAATTCAATCCAACCAGTTGTCTGAAAGAGGCAGAATCTGAACCCACGCCAATACATTCATTCCAGCTAGGCCAAATTTGCTTTTCCTCTACTCCAAAATTGTTCCAACCACCTGATGCTGGCACTCAGAACAAAGAGCACTGTTTTATTGAACAAAGAACAGCAAGCTCAAGAAGGCAGCACTGTGTCGGTGATCTCTTTACACATCCCCAGCTTGCTTAAAATAGAAACAATTTCTTAAAGAGGAAGCATGGTTCAAATAGGATACTGCAAACAAGCTATTAAATCACGGACTGCTAACAAACTAAAACCCAAAATATACAGAAAATAGACAACTTGAACAAGGCAGAAAAACTTTAAGCACCCAAGCACCCAATGCTGAGAGTGAATAGACTCAATTATTATCTAGTAATAATTCAAGTTCAGGGGGAACATCATTAACATACATCAAAGCTAAAACATTATGATACCACAGTTTGCAAAGCACAAAACAACATCTGCATGTACTTTAATGAGTTGCCATTCAACCTAAAGAAGGCACCCAAGGCTAATACTTTGCAAGAATTTAGATCATTATAATAGACCACATTAAGAACAGAAAAAAGCAATCTGACTAAAAACAGCAAGTTAATATTTTTAGAATCATTCAAAAGCCACCTAGAAACTCCCTGCCCTCAAAGGTATTCTAATGCTTCAAAACATATTACATCAAATAGAACTATATGAAGTCATGGGACAAGTTGCATAAGCTTAACCAAGAATGGTCAAATGTTCTGGTTCCATAACTGGAGAAGAGCTCCACAAATGGAAGACTTTCAAAAGAAAAGGTCCAGTCTCTGTTCCCACCAGCCTCACCTCTTCTATTAACAGAAGATAGAAACTGTATTTATACATATACTTTTTCTGTAACAGTAACATACTGCAATACTTGAAATAGTCAATACACGTTTATATAATTTAGTATGGTTAGTGGCAAAATAACAAACATCTCTGAAACAAAACAAAATGCTGAGCAGACCGGTCAGCAACTAATAAAAATGAATTCTGCCACATTTCAAGAACCTCTCAAAAGCTTGGAAGCCTTATTTCTTTCTGTAAATATAAACAACAGTCTTTTCCCCAATAATTTATTACCTAAATCTGAAAAACAACAGGACAAAACATCACAGCAGGATATTTCTGTCCCAGGCTGACTGCTATCTTCTTTGCTTATTTGTTTAGTACATTTATATGCCTCCTTTCTCTCAGGTGGTGGGACCAAGGTGACTCACAGATCATTCAAACAATCGTTAAAGTAAAAAAAAAAAAACTCAGAAAATTAATTGCATATTTGTACTTTTTTTTCAGTAACTGATTCTTGTCACTGCTTTATATGGTAAGGGCATCTTAGATTTCTCAATTAGTACTATAAAACAGTTGACTGCTTCTTTCTTTTCCAAGACAAATGTGCAAAGGAAGTCCTGAAATGTTCAAACACAGCCACTTCGCATTCATTGGTGAACAATTATAATAGACAGCAAAATCCTTCTTTCAGGACTCTCTAATCAAAAAAGCCCTTTAAAAGAGTTCAGCCGTTTCCAAGTGACAACATGAAGGCTTGACATTAAATGAGTGATGTTAAAAGAAAAGAGCCAACTTTTCACACAGATTATTCTCAAGACAGCAGTAGCTGACAAAGTAAACAAGTAGCACTGAAAAATAACTAGTTGAATACCTGCAGTTCTTACTGTAATTAATAACTAAAGGGAACACCACCTTAACTGTGAAAGCAGCACTTATTCTGGGATAACTTTTACTGCTGCATAATAATAATTACATGTACTCAGATGAATTCTCACTTACAACAACCCTTCTCAGGGTTTCTAGGTTTTGAATACTCAATAGTAGTCCTTTTTCTG